ATAGCAACAGTTAGTAACAGCAACGTTAGCCTTTTGGTTTTCTCGCTAAAATCCTGTTATCTACATCTCCCAGATTTACATCACTACCTATACCTCTAGGTTTCTTTCGTTTGTAGCTTAACTTCTGTTTATAGCTTAAATTCATCTCACTCTAAGTTTCTCTTCATGGTCTGCCACCTCAAGTGTTTTCCTTTGTGGTAAATTCTTTTATCTCCCCCATCATTCACAGCGAGAATTCTTTGAGATATATATTGCTCCATTTTTACCTACAAGTCATTGCCAAAACTTTTCTCTAAATCTCTTTTCCAGTTATCCGTTAAGATCTACAAAGGATCCTCTTACTACGATTTTACCCAAGGCAGTTTAAGTCAGTAGTTAAAAGATCTCAGTGTTGGAATCAGACAAAACCTTGCCAGCTCTGTCACTTTCTGGGCATGTGACTTTGGACTACTTACTTAACCTCCCTGAGCGTCAGGCTCCTCTCTGTGAGATGAAGATGTTATTTCTTCGAAGAATTATTGTGAGGCTTCAGTGAAATACTGCCTTTGTAGTTCTTGGCGTAGCCTCTGGCATGTGGTAACTGTTTAAACATCCAGCTGTTACTGTTACCCACCCTCTCTGGTCCTCATCTGGATGTTCCTGTGGCCAGTTCAGAATGACTCAGCAGAGCCATTATTTCTTACCTGTGATGTTTTTTAAAGGGTTCAAAGAATGTATATTGGAAAGGACTTTGGAGGTTACTAAACCATTCACCTCTACAAAAATCAAAGCTACCATTTTTTAAGTGCCTGTCAGGCACTGCATCTAGTTTTTGAAACGCTGTGTAGTGGCAGTTGCTGGGGCTGTGAGACGCAAGCACACACCCCCCTGAGCCCGCCCACCTAGGAGTGTCTTGACTGATACTTGCGCTCTGCCCATCTCTGGCTCAAACTTCAGATTTTTGTCATCAGAATGTATTGCTACCATAAACCCCGTCTGTGAAAATAAATAAAAGAAAAGAAAGTATACTTCTTGACATATGTTCCTTAGTTGAACAGATACTTCCAATGACTGGGAGGGAACCAGCTACTTTGTGAGACAGTCAGTCCATTTTATTGCTGAAGTTAAATACTTCAGTGTTTAGTGCTATATCCTGATAATTATATTTTCTCTCATTTGACTTATTTTTAAAAATTACAGAGCCCGTCTAATGTTATTTTTTCCTGATAGTCCTTTAACCTTTAAATATTTGAATGTAACTATTGCTCTTCCCGTCATTCTCTCCTCCCCCACACAGATGCTGAGTTTATCCATTCTGGCCCCCTTCATTTTGGCAATGAACATTATCTTATATAAGCTCTATTTCGTGCATACCAAACGTTCTCTGTCCCAATTTTTTCCCCTTTGGCTTCAGGTCTAGTAACCATCAGGGTCTCAATAGCCCTAAGTGCACACTAGGTTTTTCTTTCTTTTTTAAAAAAATACTTTATTTCTTTATTTTTAGAGAGGGGAAGGGAGGGAGAGAGAGAGAGGGAGAGAAACATCGATGTGAGAGAGAAAACATCAGTCGGTTGCCTCTCACACACTCCTTGACCGGGAACCAAGCCCACATCCCAGGCATGCGCCCTGACTGGGAGTCAAACCCACAACCTTTTGGTGTACAGGACAGTGCTCCAACCAGCTGAGCCCCACTGGCCAGGGCAGAAATGCATTCTTAGGTTGTTCATCATTAAGGTTAAAGGAGCTTTCTTGTTCCATGATCTGGGATCCCTGATAGTCAAGGTTTACTCGTCGAAGTTCAGGCAAAGAAATGCGAGTGACACCACGGTCATTACAGATGTACTCCCATCCTGCAGTATGGGCACCAACCCCCACATCGGTGTCCGTTTCCCACTTGACAGCCTGGACAGGTAGGGCTTATTGTTTCCGCTTCCTGATTTCTGAGGAGATGGGCTGACCAGGGCAAGTGATGCTGTTTTTGGTATAATGGTCTGAGGATCCCTACAGCTCTATCTGAGTTACAAACAAGAGGGAAACCGGAAATAACTGAACACACCTTCTACTATTGTTGAGAATAATCTTGGCTTAGCTTCAGCAGGGGGTTTGGCAATTCAGAGGAGTTTGTGTTCATTTACTTTCAATTGACTATCTACTGTGGTCCTTCACCACGGGGTGTTTAACAGTTGATTTCTTCCTTTTAAATTAGGCGCAATTGTATACAGAACTCCTTTTTTGTTCAGTGGATCATGATTTACTTATTGAGTTGGCTTTGTATTTATATCATGATTCTATTCTATGGTTTATTGAGTGCCTGCTCTATCTAAAGCATTCTGCCTACACCATAATTGAGATGAACAGGGTATATGGCCTTTTCTCACAGGAAGGGTAGGGAGAAAGGCATGAATGTTAAGTTGGAAAAAGGTAAGTCTTATCGTTGAAGTTCAAGCAGGGGGCCAAGTGGTCAGTTGTCTTCAGATAGCAGGCCTAGTTATATTTACCTAAGAAGTGTCATTTGAGCTGAGCCTGGAGGGAGTGGTAGGACTTGAGGAACTAGAGAAAAAAGCTATAGTCAATGCGAGGTGGAGGAAGAGTATGGACAAAGGTCTGGCTGTGTGGAAGGTCTGGATGTGGGATGCTGGAGACAAGGCTGAGAGTAGCTCCCGGGGGACCTGGAGCTCTGTGCTTCGGAGACGGCTCTTTACGATGACAGGCTGCTGAAGGTGTCCGCAGAGGGGGATTGGGGTCAGAGCCGAGATCCTGCTGATGTGTGCAAGGGTGGCCGCGGAGGCCAGACGGAAGTGCCAGCCGACAGTTCCGCCGTGATGGTGATTCGGGCATGGTCTGAGGAGGGCTGGAGCCAGTGACGTCAGGAGTAAAAAGGAAAAGACACATTGGAGTGAACTTCCAAAGGTTCGAATCACATAGTTTGGTCACTGGTTTACTCTGGAGAAAAGGAAGCTTGAAGAATGAAAACAGACACACAGATTTCTAGGTTGGGTGGCCAAAAAAGCAACATGCCAATAATTAAGCTTTGAACATAGGAGAGGGTCCAGGTTTGAGGGCAGGGTGGGAGACATGTAATAATGGGCTTAGCAATGTGTAATTTTATGGCCTTTATAAGATAGACACGTGGATATATTCTCTAAGCAGTTAGAAACTGTGGCCCAGCAGACAGGAGTGAGATTTGGATCTGGGAGTCCAGCCTTCTAAGGAATCTTTGAGGCCTTGGGAGGCCTTGGGAGGCCTTGGGAGGGGAGGACTTGGCCTCTCCCAGTCACTTCTTAAGCAGCCCTCTGTCCTCAGGCTTTCCCAGTGAGGACAGAGGGCCGAGGAGGGCCGACATATTTAAGAAGTGAGTGGAAGAGTCGCTGGAAGGACTGTGGCCCCAGAAGGGGGTTTCAGCAGGGACAGGCCGAGTCAAACCCAGCAGATGCTATAGCTGAGAGCAAGACTTGGAATAGGATAAGGAACTGATTCTTACCATTGTAATGTGTTTTAAAATCTTTTTGTGTGGACATTTTAAAACTACACAAAAGTAGAACATTTTAATGACCCACCATCTTCCCAGGATCCAGGGTCGATTATTACCAGCATTTTATCAGCCTTCCTTTATCGCCCCACTTCCTGGGGGAAGAGAAGGGAGACAGCTGGTGTCTAACCCATGGCCTGCAGGCTGCATGCGGCCTAGGATGGCTATGAATGCAGCCCAGCACAAAATCAGAAATTTACTTAAAACATTTTCTTTTGCTCATCAGTGTTCGATAGTGCCTGTGTATTTAATGTGCTCATTAGTGTGTGTGTATTTAATGTGTGGCCCAAGACAACTCTTCTTCCAGTGTGGCCCAGAGACACCAGAAGTTTGGATGCCCCTGCGAGCATGATTAAACTCATGTCATTTCTCCCATACTTTAGCTCCCTACTACTTCATAAGGACAATGAGCTTTTATAAGTCATTATCTTACCAATGTTAAAAAATTAGTTTATCAGTATCAGCTAACAAAACTTCTTTTCATTAAAATAATTTGAAGTCCTTGCAAGTCATATCAGTGATGCTTTGTAATTCCACTGGATGATATCTCACTCTGAGAGCCTGTTTGGGAAGTAGGCAGACTATCATGAAGAAGATAATAAAATGCGTCACGTAAAAAGGATGCTTCTGTGTGGCACACAGTGGCTTTTGGTGGGAGGCTATGTTTTATTTCGTGTATACCTTTACCCCCTGGGAATAGCAACCAAAATCTAAGATTGGGCTTCCTGTTTTTAGGTCATATGAATTGAAACATTTCTTCAATGATAGTGCTCCAGTTTTGCCACCTCTATCACACATACTTCTAGAGCAGTGGTCGTCTTTTAGCATATGCACTCTCCAGAGTTATTTTTAATTGCCGTGGCCTTGGAAGAAAGGGGCTACTGGTGTCTAATAGAAGAGAGAAGTTAGGGATGCACAGGACCGCCTCCTTCCCATGATAAGGGCTTAACCTGCCCAAACTACCAATAGTGCCAAGGCTGAGAAACTGGGTGTTAGAAGGCCTCGCGTATTCCAGAGGAGAATCACCTTTTCCAAGCTGTTACTACCTCACATGCTTGTTACACAGGTCGCCGTGAAGAATTTTTCTCTCTTCTTTCTCTCTCCTTTGGAGAGAGTTAATGTCCCTACAGGTGTTTTCTCTTTGATCATCTGCATCACTTAAGCTGGGTTTGGCCTGATCTTTGAGCCCACCAAACTTCATTCCACTTTTTATTATCTTGGTGTCCTCAGACTCCAGGAGAACACAGAAGTAATTTGGTTTCTTTGGGTAGGAGATTTAAGGTGGAATGAACTTTCAAGGCATGTCCACTGGGCTGAGCAAAGTTCTATCTTTGGAAGAAGACAATAGCTTGCTGCGGGAGGGTGCTATTTAACAAGCAGGTGGGACTTGTTAAATAAAGATGCAATCTGTATTTCTTCACCTTAACTTGAAGTTGGGCAGTCATTTGTAGTAATTGGGAAACGTAAATTATTTTGCATTCTTTATTTGTAGGAAATACAGTTGGAGCATGCAAAGCAAGCCTTTGTGCAAAGGGACAATGCCAAGACTGGAAAAGTCACAGCCATTGACTTCCGAGACATCATGGTCACCATCCGCCCCCATGTCTTGACACCTTTTGTAGAAGAATGTCTAGTAGCTGTAAGTTGTAACTTGCCCAAATGAAGTAGTTTATTCTGCCTGGCGTGAGCTCAGTAAATATGGGATTATAAGAATAACTCTTACATATTATGTAAAGGTTTTTCTGTTTAAAACAAACATTTTCTTATTGTGATTGCATACATTACTAAAGTTAAAGACAGAGTATGTCTTGGCTAGTTTTAGTGGGTAAGTTAATTTGTTATCTGGACATTATGGAATCTCTTAAAGAAAATGTATTAAGTGGTTTTTTAAAAAAGCAAAAACAAATTTATGATCTCATACTAATTTTGCTTTATATAATCGAGGTGTGTCAAATGCTAATCTTTGCTTTTATCTATTCTCCAAGGCAAAAAAAAATATTTTTTTAATTGTGTGCCTAGATGTTTTTAAGAGGTCAGCGGAACACAAACTCTCAATGTGGTGTGTACTTGTTCATTCATCATGTGTGGGTTGAGGTGACAGTGGCACATGCGACAGCGAGCCCTGCTGTCCTGTGTTGCAGAGTTTCCATTGTGATGTACACCCAGCCACTCTCCTTCCCTGCTGGCCCCAGAGAGTGTCCTGGAACGTTCTGCAGGGCTGGGGGCGGGGGAGGGGGGCATTGCCCACGCCTTGGCCATGGAGCTTAAGAATCACCATGGAAAATTTTTAAAAATACAGATTCTAAGCTTCTTTCCAGATTTACTGATTCACCGTCTACAGGTGCGAGGCCCTAGAATCTAATTCTAAGCTTCCTAGATAATTCTGATCATCAGTCAGATTTGGGGACCCTTATGCAGGAGTATCTATCTTTTCATTCATCCCAGGGAGATTTTGTTGTTGTCGTTGTTGCTGTTTTGCACGTTTTCACCATCATCTGGGTTTCTCACAATGCTTACCATTGGCAGGAGCCTAGGCTAGCTTTCCATCTCTCCTTTTTTATTCCCGGTGCCTGTTTCTGGACAGGCAGTGCTCTGACAAGGCCTTTCCCACTCTGGCACTGTGTTAATCTAGCCCCTGTTCTTGCCCCCGCCCCCCCTTCCCTGCTTCATTCTAAACTCCCATGTCAGCTATTCTAAATGGCTACTAAGTGAAGATTTATGTGGTTGTTACCTTATAAAGAAGTGCTTTCCTAATAAAAATATTTTGCCTTGTTAGGGAAGGATAGAATTTGAAACCCAAACTGAAGTTCTATTCATAATGGACATGCTGTCTGTTTCCCTTATCCCCTATTAAGAAATATGGTTTCTTACAAATTTTGACTATCAGAATTCTGACCAGTCTTAACCCCCATCAAAGCATATGACATCTCATAATTTTACCATAATATGCCTGTTTGCTAGAAATCCCACCACTGTAAAGTCTGTGCATAAATGATTATTTATTGCTAGTTATAAGTAACATGACAAATCATGATATTAATGCTAGATTGACCACTTTTCATTGTATGTCTGTGTTGGTATAATAATACAGTTTTGCATGTATAAGCACACACATGTGTATAATATAGTTTTGTATGTCTAAGCCTGTAAGAATTGCTCATTAGATGAAATAAACAAACTTATAAAACATTTCCAATGGAAATTTGAACTCTGTAAATTACTACTGGCCCTGTTCTTATAACCATACACATGTATTTATTTAGTTTTCTAGGATTGTGTTTGGAGAATACGAGTTCTGGTCATGATTAGTTGCAGTTACTTCTAAAAATCATTTATAGCAGTTTGTAATGTGAAAGAAAAATACTTACAGCTATTTCTTCTTATATATGCATTCCTGATTACTTCTAAAACTAGTATTGATATATGTACTTCTGAATCTTCTTCATTCTATAAATACTTTATTTTTATTCTCCCCTCTCTTATTTTCAACTTACTTGAGGCTGCTGGAGGTACCACGTCCCATCAAGTCAGCTTCTCCTATTTTAATGGGTTTAATTCGCTCCTTAACAACATGGAACTCATTAGAAAGATCTACAGCACTCTGGCAGGCAACAAGAAAGACGTAGAGGTGACTAAGGGTGAGTGAGAATAAATGTGAATTCTTACCTGCAAGCATCTTGGTGTATTATTATTAGAGTGAAGAAGGCAACCAAGAAGTTTAATTGTAGTGGTTTTTTTTTTTAAATTTCATTGACACATATTAACCGTATGGCACAAGTGTGTTTTCCGTCCTTTGATTAGACAAAAGCAAACAAAACAATCTTTGGCAAGTTTTAAATAAACCAAAGACAGTCTTTGAGTTAGGGAACAGTGTAAAGTTTCTTAAGTGTTTTCAAATCTTGCTAGAGCCTGAGCTAAACTGGCAGCCTCTTAAAGTGGTCTTCAAAAGTACATGAGGAATCCCATACACTTACACTGGTGACAATATAAATGGATCTACAGCCTTAGAAGAAGATACCAGTATTTTAACAGGATTTTTTTTTTAAACAGAAAATTGGCTTAGGAATTCCACAGCTTCATTAACATAACCTCCTGGGACCTGTGCATAAGAAGTGTCCTATCTGCTTCCTAGTTTTCCCTGACCTGCAATTTGAATCACATCGCGTATCATTTATTCAGACTTCAGATGGCACCAGACTTTTAAAGTCAATGTTAGAGATATTCATCTGCACACTCTTTCCAAATGAATGAAAGAACTGCAGTTCTTACCCTATTTGGATTGACTTGACTTAAATTCTACGACTGATGATGATAAAGTTTTGTGATGTTCACTCATTCCAGTGCCTTGAGTTAATGCTGCATTTAGTGGCTATTCCTTCTTGAATCTTTCCCTTTTTAACTCTTTTTCCATACAGAGGAGTTTGTTCTGGCAGCTCAGAAATTTGGTCAGGTTACACCCATGGAAGTTGACATCTTGTTTCAGTTAGCAGATTTATATGAGCCACGGGGGTAAGTTGGCCTTTTTTTTTTTTTTTTTTTTTTTTAATTAGCTTAATAAAAAGAGGTTAAGAGGTGGGGGTAGGAGGAAGGCAGCAAACTGGGAGAAAAAGAAACCAAATTAAAGATAACTCTGAAATACGGGAAATGAAACAGGGAATGTTTTTAAAATTCTGTAATGTACATTTTAATCAATTTATATTTTTGTTTTGTTTTGTTATCCCCCCTCCTGCCCCCCAGGCGGATGACCTTAGCAGACATTGAACGAATTGCTCCTCTGGAAGAGGGAACTCTACCCTTCAACTTGGCTGAGGCCCAGAGGCAGGTGGGCAGAAAGCAAACTTGCTTCCTGGTGTTTCTTTAGTAGGATGCCTCCCACTCCTTTTCACTGGCAGTTGTCTTTCTGACTGAGGTCTGACCTACCATTTTTCCATTTTGTGCACAAAATCCGGACAATTTCATAAGGCTGAAAGGAGAAATCACTTAGGGATGTTCTGATTAACCTACAGCTGACATTTTTGCTCTGCCTCTGCCCCACCCCCACCCCCCAAAGATGAGGTGATTTTTCTACCTGCATTGAAAAACCTAACCCTCCAAAAATAGGTAGGAGATCCGTCCCTCTTCCCCAGATCTCGGTCGAGGTGCAGGGCAGGAGTCCTGTTCTGGTGTCGCTTGGCGCAGCGAAGCTGCATGCTGCTCAACGAGATGCTAAACGAAAGACGCCTTTGCTCTGCAGAGAGGTTCTCCGTCAGCGCGTTGTCTGCCTGCCATGCCTTCCGTTTTTCTGAATATCAAAATGAGATAATTTTGTTTAGTCTGGAGTCATAGTTCGAAGGCTTTTAGACCTCTTTTCTCTGTGAAAGGATTCGTAAGTTATGTGGAAACAATTTGAGGAATGTTAAATTTTATTTTATGGTTAACAGAAACCAATCTTTTGCAGTTTGGGAGTCAGAAACTTAAGACATGAGGACCTCCTCATTTAACTCTTGCTCAACTTTCTATAGATCAGGATTAGAAAATCAAAGCCTTCATAGGGTGGGTTGTCCTTACGTGATGTTTATAAAATAAATCCACTCAGAGACAAGCATCGTTTTAGAAGAAGAGATCCTTTAAGGCAAAGCCATCTCCGAATCCTGTGAGACTTAACAGTTTTTGGCTTGGAACACTGGGTCTGTACAGAGACGCCAGTTTGACCACAATGGGTTGATGCGGGCTACATTTTTAAGACTGGCAGGCCCCGAGCCAGGACCCCCTCCTTTCAGCTCCTTCCCACCCGAATGCAGTGGCGAGTTTTGTGTGCAGCATGTTACTCAAAGTGGTGGGTGTGTGCTCAGTAAATCCTAACTAGGCACCTCTGGAAAACCAGCTGGCCGTTGTTAAAAGGGGAAGCCGATTTCCCCGAGTGCAGGAGAGAGAAATGTGTAATTGTGTGCAGAGGTGGAAGCAACGTTGCTCTCCCCTCCCTTTGATTTTTAAACACTGCTTACCAGTGTCTCTGTGCTACTAGTTGTAGAAATTTGAGGATTAAGAAAAAGCGGGGACTTTTTTTTTTTTTCCTTCTCCTGTTCTCCATTTGGCAGTGGTATCCCACAAGTTTTCCTTCAGGCCCATCTGCAGCTTTTTGAGAGTTGGCAATGGGTGCTTGTTGATGCTGGTCATGAAAGGGTTAGAGGAGGTTGATGAGATTTAGAGTGGGAAATGATTGGCTGCTGCTTGGAGGTTTAGAGCCATTCACAGTGGTCTTGTCTGGAATATTCTTTACTCTGTGAACCTCAGTGGGCCTGACCGCATTGACAGACGCGAGCAACAAGCAACAGAGGTCATCTACCCGGTCGGTCAGTACTAACATCCACCCTTGGCAGAGGCGCAGAGGTGTATGGGAGTGGGCATCTCCTCTCATTTCAGGAGCCTGCTACATTTCTAGCTTCTGGAAAGTTAAGTGGAAGTCTGGAGTTTCATTTACTTTGTCTTTTAAATGAAGACTTAGTGATAGTGGTAGGTTCCTCCCACCCCATCATTTTCAAAGTATTTTCACTCATTTTTCGATATCAGAACCTTTCTAAGTATTGCATATTTGTTGGGTTTTTTTTTAAGTTAACGTATAGCTTATGTATAATATTTTATTAGTTTCAGGTGTCATCATAGTGATTCGACATGTACACAGCTTACAGGGTGCTCACCACACTCAGACTGGTAACCTCTGTCACAGTACAAAGTTATCACACTGTTACTGACTATATTCACCTTCACCATTTTCACCCATCCCTCCACCCCTCCCCCTTCTGGCAGTTATCAGTTTGTTTTTTGTTTCTCTGAGTCTGTCTTTGTTTTGTTCTGTCTGTTCTTGGTATTGCATGTTTGTATCCATGTAAATAAAAACAGTACCTTTCTATGGCTGCATCTGTCAAAATGAAGTTACTATTGATGTCCATCTGTACAGGGCATCCCATACAATTTGCAGAAGAAATGTTTTGCATTCCTAAAGGCGCATTTTTCTATGTAAAGCTATTTTCAGTGAAGTGACTTTGAAGGAGATTGCAAATTATCTCATTGTATTAGAATTGTGTTACATTGACAGCAACTAAAATTCAGTGGGTTGATGGTTGGGGTTGTTAATTATTTTTATGTTCACCAATATTAATTATTGTGGCTTTTGAAAATACCAATTTTATTGAATGTTTTTTTCATTCCACAAGTATTTATGAAGCACTATATGCCACCCTCATTTGACAGTTCTGTATATGAGGTCTGTCATGAAAAAGTCCAGCTGTTTTTAATATAATGAATATGATTTGTGAGGCATAGATGTAACCTGGCAGCCAAGGAGAGTGGACTGGAATGCACATGTGTGAACAATGACAACTTCACTGTACTAGTCAGTGGGTGTGCTAGACACCACTGAGTGAGCATGTGTACTGTGACTGTCACATTCAAAATGACTGAGCCAGTAGAGCAACAGATCTGCATAAAATCTTGCATTAAGCTTGAACATTCGTCTCTGTAAACTATTCGGATGATTCAGAAGGCCGCAGCTGTGTGCAACTGGCGATTGGCAGCTTCATCATGGCATGGTGTCTGCTCATGCATCATGTCTCATGCAGAGTTTTTGGTGAAACATCAAGTCACCCAGGTGACTCAGTCCCCGCTATGGCCCAGATTTGGCACCCCGTGACTTCTGGCTTTTTCAAAACTAAAATTGTCTTTGAAAGGGAAGAGATTTCAGACTGTCAGTGAGATTCAGGAAAATACAATGGGGCAGCTGATGGCAATTGGGAGAACTCTGAGGTCCCAATGTGTCTACTTTGGAGCGGACTGAGGCATCATTGTACTATGGACAGTGTTTCTTGTATCTTGTATCTTATTTAATAAATGTCTCTTTTTCGTATTACGTGGCTGGATACCTTCTGTATAGACCTGGTACACGTAAAATTGCTATTGGATTTATGTAGACAGAGAATATAGACCACTGACTGGCCATTTAAAATAAGAATTTTAAAATGATGGATGAAACAAGAAGAGAAAGTAACAGTAATGCAATCACTTAGTTATAAACACTGTAAACATTTTTTAGTATCTCTAGGTAATGAGGTATCCAAAATGTTAGCATTATTTTTATGTGTATATATATATATATATATGCCCACAAATAATTTTAATAAAAACATTTTTTAAAGATTATGAAATATTTTAAATATTTAAAAATGTAACTTTATATCATGAACACCTGTCTACTCACCATATTCTTTTTTAAACCTTTTACTTATAATTTTATTTATAATACTTTATGAACATTATTTTAATATTAAATATTCTGTTACTACATCATTTTTATGATGTCCTATTTTATTTTAAGGCTATAGCATTATATTTAACCAGTACTCTACTATTGGACATTTAGGTTGTTCTCACAGGTTTTGTTCTTATAAAATAATAATTCTTTTCAACGTTCTTATAGCTTGATCCTTGTTTACATACACAATTATTTTTTAGCCTAACTTTTTATGAGTAGAACTGCAGGGTCAGAGGTTATATACCTTTTAAGGTGTTGGATGAATATCACCAGGTTTCCCTTCAATTTATACTTGATTAAACACCAGTCCTGAGAAGCCCTGTTCCTGTCAACTCTTGCCAAACTGAGTATCGCCATTAAAAAACAAACAAAAAAAAACTACCAATCTCCCAATTTGATCGATGAAGAATGATGTCTCATTAATATTATTAAATTTATATCTCTTTGATCACTAATGAAACCTGAATATTTGAAAATAGGTTCATAACATTGTTTATAGTACATAATGCATTTTTAAATTTAAATTTAAATTCTTTTTTAAAGATTTTATTTATTTATTTTAGACAGAGGGGAAAGGAGAGAGAAAGAAAGGGAGAGAAACATCAGTGTTGCCTCCTGTGCACCCCCTACCGGGGACCTGACCCACAACCCAGGCATGTGCCCTGACTGGGAATCAAACCGGCTACACTTTGGTTCTCAGACCAGCACTCAATCCACTGAGCCACACCAGCCGGGTCCATAATGGCTTTCATTACATTCAAAACATAATGTTTAAACAGTAACAGCAGTAATAACTTTTTATTAATCAAAACTTACTGAATCTAACCCTACCTTCCTCTTTGACATTTTATTTGTATCATGAATTTAGGAACCAATAGATAATTTCTAAAAATAACATTGCTTTTTATTTTTTTGTTCTGTCTGCTTTTTTATTTTCTGTCCACCCGCTCTCCGTTTCCCGTGCATGCAAAGAAGAAGGCTTCAGTCGATTCATCTCGACCAATTCTCCTACAAGTTGCAGAGTCGGCCTACAGATTTGGTTTGGGTTCTATTGCTGGAGGTAAGCCATGGATGAGTGAAAATTTTTCAGTGTTATTATTCCTCTTATGTTTTCTCTTGTTTTCCATGTTGAAATATTAAAGACAAACCTGTAGTCTATGAAATGGGACAAGAGCAAAGAACTTTTTTTCCATATCTGCATGTGATCAAGAAGTTACAAATGCTTGTTTCTCTTATCTGCAGATAGGCTTTCTAAAGACAGGTTAATAATGGTGTTAGAACATAGCAATGTGTTTTTTAAAACTGACACCCTTTACCCTTTCACTTGTTTGAATGAAAATTTGTAACTGTTAAAGGTATAGAAAGTTAGTACTTTTAAAATCTGTATATACAAAATTGCTTTTTTTTTCTTTTAATCAGTCTTCTCTTTGACCACCTCCCCTTTTCCTCTGATGGACCTTAATTCCTTCTGAAATGTTGGTATTATTTAATTTTAGCTGTGGGAGCCACTGCCGTGTATCCTATTGATCTTGTCAAAACTCGAATGCAGAACCAACGATCAACTGGCTCTTTTGTGGGAGAACTTATGTATAAAAACAGCTTTGACTGTTTTAAGAAAGTGCTACGCTATGAAGGCTTCTTTGGACTGTATAGAGGTAAGTGCCATGGGCTAAATTCATGTCAGATAGAATAATAGCCAGAGGTTTGGCTTTCCATCTGAGTGCCTGAAATGTATTAGAGAGACTGTGTTAAAATGGAAATACAGCAGATTCTCAATTATCCATGCTAATGGGAGTAGGCTGGAGCCATGTAGGGCATGGCTAATCAAAACAGCCCATAATCTGAAAGCCATTTATATTGCTCTGTAGTGTGTTTTATTTCTTAAAATAATTATGTTTATAAACATCTTCAGTGAGTTTTTAAAAGGCTTGTATTGTTTGTGTCCTTGAAATAATGCCACTCACCTGCTAATAGGGAAAGGCATCCTGGGGCTGGACAGGGCCTGCCGGGATTAATGAGTCTCCTGGAGCACACCACAGAAGGGTCCGTCAGCAGGGTAACCAAGGGTTCAGTGGGCCCTCCTTTACTGCCTCTTTCTGAGTTCAAGTTGCTCCATCCCTGCCTCTAACTCTATACCCGGTGGAACTGGTTCACACGCTGCTATAGCCAGGTAGTCCTTCTGGACCCAGCTGCTTCTTTAATCATCTCAGGTTCATTAAGCAAAGAGTGCGGCATCACTCATAGAAAGAATCCCACAGACCCTGACTGCTTTTCAATTGGCATTGGCCTAAAGAGGCATGCCATCTACAAAGAGGAAAAAAAGGAAATCATTTTGCATCAGCTAAACCACAGTATCGCAAGGCCGTTCAAGCCGAGCCATTTGGAACTGCAAAGCTGGCAGGATCTTCCCTTCTCTCCCTACCACTGCTTGCTCTAGAATTTAGTGCTCTGCAGAGATAGACCTTGCAACTGGCAGGCAAGTAAACCTGTGCCTCTAAGCCTCTTCTGCCATCTGCTGACTCCAGCCTTCATCTTAAGCACCCAAGTGAAAAGAAAAAGGGAAAAAAAAAACCACAAACAAAAAAAAAAACACCTCACCTTAGAAACTGGGAGGTTTCAGACTCCAGAGAAGTTCCATTTTGCAGGTTCTGTTGTGTAGTAGATAACCACCATCAAAGGCCTTTTGATCTTTTCTTTGCCCTTTTTCCCTCACCCCTGCCTCTTCTGACAGTTGGGAAGGTCTTTGACCCCAGGTGATTGATGATGACCCTTACAGGGTCACTGCCTTCCATTTGAAATACTTTTCCCTCCCGGTGACAACAAACCTGCCAAATGAAATGTCTCCCAAGTAGTACAAGGTTAATGTCACAGTTCCTGCTTCACAGTGATTCAAGCAAAGGCGACCACCTTACCTGTTCACCTGCATTGTTTTCTGTAAGGGAGAGCTTGCGCCTCAAGTCAAACAGATGTCTAAGCCTTGGGGTTGCTTCATTGATGACTTTTATGGGCTTTCCTTGGTATTGGACTAAATGCCAAGAGCATCTTTAGAATAGTGAGAAATACTTGGTGTCCTGCTCCTTAGGTTGACCTGATTTGTTTTTAATTTGGAGTCCCTTCTGTTTCAAGCTCTTTGACCACACCTGGCAGGTCTTGATTCTTGGTTGCATCTGGATTTCTTTCCATGACCTGTCCTCTTGACCTCATGGACAGAACAACCTAAAGCCTACCTGAGGATTGAGTGCTGAGCTTATGTGGGCCATCCCACAAAACTTCATGCTGTTGGATTTGTTATATCTGTGAGCAGGAGTGAATGTTTAAGTCCTCGGGGCCGGGGGCGGGGGGGAGGGTAAGTGGCCTAGTAGGTAGAGGTGGAGGCTCACTCTGAACACCAAAGAGGCAGTGCCTCCCCCATCCCTGGTTTAGAAATAGCCATGTATCTAACCCATTTTGGGTCCCTGAAACCTAAGGGGTTCTCTGTCAGAGGATGATAAGTGGAGTGTGAATATAAGATTAGTCCTGGAAGTCGCCTGTGTTCACTTCTCCCTGATTTCTTATTTTTTTCTAGTAGATGATTTTATAAGAAAAGATTTACTATAAAACTTTGTTTAGCAGTTCTGTAATTTGGATCTGGAAGACAAAGTGATGATTAGCAATTCCAGTTTAAAACAATGATTTACAATCTTGCTTCATAAATGACTTACTCCTGTTCTTGATCGGTTGGAAACCAGTTCCCTTTGGTGCCTTGCACACAATCATTAATTAATAATTGTATATAACTATGTGTAAATGCTTATCATCAAGGCAAGAGTAAGATCTGATGAAAATGGGAAATGATCATTGGCAGCAAAAAATGATGATAGAAACAAAAAAGACCTGAAGTGTTTCTGTAAATCAGTATTCTAACCTCTGTGTATAAAGTCAAGACATAAAACCCCCTTATGTGTGATTCTTTGATTACAAATTTCTCATTAAATGTAATTTTATTGTTTAAAAATTGTATTATTTCTGGGGAAAAATGTTAAGTTTCAATTTGGAGAATTTAAAATTGCTTCTGTTAACGCTTCACTTAGCAATGTTTGAGAAGGTGTCAGACTGCATCTCTAATTAATAAACATGTTTTGAAATATTGAGCATATTTTTTTCCTGTTCTGGAATTTTGCTTAACGTGTAATTTTATGCATCAAGACATATATAATTGCTAATATTTCCTGAATAGTATAATTTGGGAATGTTGCATAAGTAAGGTCCCTTCCCTGTTTTAACATTATATTTATGCGTATTTTGGGGGAAAGTCAGCAGTTGGCCCTGAAAGAAGGTCGCTGCAGCATGTATTCTTATTATAAAATTTATAAGGATCTCTCTCCTCTCTTTTCTTCTAAAAAGAATACAGATCTCTAAGGGGAAGCTGGTTTTGTATTTAAAAGTAAGTTCTCATGGAACTGCGAGAGCGAAGGTTATTTGTAAAGCACTGTGTCAGCACTCACTATATGTGTTTTTCCTCTCCGCTTTCGCTGACAGTGGCCAGCATCTGTCTGCTCACAGTCCTGGAAGTCACCCAGTCATAATCGTCATAGTCAGGGAGCACGTTTGAATCACTGCCCCTTAGTCCCAAGGAGACTGATAACGCAGCGTGGGATTGTTAGCAGGTGTCTTCAGCAGACATCGTGTCCCAGGCCTCAGAGTGCCGCATGTAATTTTAGTGTTGTTGGTTAGTTAGGTCTTATTTTTCATATCTCTGTTTCTTCGTCTCTGGAAGTCTCTTATTTAGGGGGGCTAAATTATGGTGGTTAGAAAAGATCTCCTTACAAATCCTATGGGACTAACTCTGCAAACCTTCTCTATAACGAAGACTTCTGAAAGTGATTGATTTCCCTAGGTTTTTCTATAATTTTGGAAAATCAAGCCCCCAGGCTAAATCTGTCTCTATGAAGGGAAATAACACCTGAGATAATCCAGAGCTCTCTGAAGTCACTTGTAAAAGTCTTTCTCTGTTTCCTCCCCAGTCTTCAGATTGATTTAATGCACTCAGGTGTTTAAAATCCTTAATGAATTACCCGACAGCTCATTTGGTTTGAATGAATCGCATGACCAAATGAGTCAGTTATTGGCCTGCTCTAGACTTGGCATAGTAAAGAAAAACAATTGATTGGGTAATCATCCGTAATTAAATGCTCTTAACGTTCCAGGAATAACTATTTCTGCCTCTAAGCCTCGCTTTACTCTACTCCTTCAGATGCTTCAGGTAATGAGATGAGTAGCCTTAGAAACTGGAAAATGTTTTGGGGAGGACCTCGGGGAGAAAGATGAATTCAAGAGAAATCAGGATCTATGAGAAATACTTTTTAGAGGAAGGTTTTGATTTTTGTTTCTGCTGGAGGGAGATGCCATATAGAGAATCTGCCAGAAAGAGAAATTAGATCATTTCATGAATTAAACAATTTGGAGCATTACTTTAAGATAATTGGCACAAAAAAATGTCTTATTAATAAGTCCATTGATCCAGCCATGCAAGTTTGAAATGTGTCTACTTTGGGGTCGTCTGTGGTGTAAAAGCATCATCTTCTGTCCTGGAATGTTCTCAAGGTGACATCTAGAGGATATTGTGGTGATATCTCAGAAAGTTATTGATATGTGTGCATTCTAGAAGGCAGTTTTGTCAGAAAGCTGTTTTCTGCCAAATCTCTTTTTGTGGTTAAATGGTTCTATAGACGGGAATATCCAAATTATATGATCCACAGTGAGATTCTTTCTTGCATAATTCTCGTGGATAAAAATAAATTTAAAAATTCTAGCATCCAAATAAAAAGATTGGAGTTCCTACATCTCTGTTTTGCACAACTTAAGAAGCCATGCATCTTGGAACAAACCACAGTGAATATGTGAACTTTACTAAGTTATGAGTTGCCATGCATGTCCACCAAAGAAAGCTTCTAATGAGTGCAGAATGGACTGGTTTGAGTTTTGTCTTCTTAGCCAATTTCTGCACATTTTCTTTGAGGACACTAAGGTGTGAAGAGATCAAATAGCAGCTATTTGGTCATCGGAGACTAAACAGAAATGAGCAGAAGACTTAGGCAGTCCATGAGCTGGGTAGTCAGATCTCCAGAAATCTTCAGTGAGCCAGCTGAACTAGCAGAGGGCATTTAAATAGGAGAATGAAGTAACACTAACTCAAATCAGGGTGGATCGGAGTGTGGTCTGAGGCTTGAGAGGGCTCGATGAGAACAATGATGAGCTTAGTAAATTGGGAAAGGTGACAAGAAGATGGAACTAGATGGGGCCTGGAAAAGAGAAGATTAATGAACAAATTAGTTCCAGGCCTCAGGAATGATCATTTATAACCAGCTACTGCTGCTGCCGAAACCAAAACAAGGGAAACAGATTAAACCTCAGCACCGAGGATATAGTTTAGATAGAAGAGAAGATAACCAGGATTCTGAACGTTGCCTTAGACCAGAGTGAACAGCGGTAGGAGAGGATGCCATCCTTCTTCCCATGAGCTGCACTTCTAGAAAGCCCCCACATCGAGGAGCAGGCGAGGGGCTCCATTTTTTCCAGGCCATAATCATGCTCCCTAAAGGCACTGAGCCACAGCTAAGTAAGATAACAGATGGTTCTTGACCATTTTGAGTAAAACATTTAACCCAGATAAACA